AAATTGTTCAATTCAAAATATCATAACAGTTTAGTGCAATTTAAATTGCAGTTCAGTTCAAGTTTTTATAGTATAGTTCAGTTCAGTTCAATGACACAAAAGAATAGTTCAGTTCAGTTCGTCTGAACTAATATTTAGTTTAGTTCAGTTCATATGAACTATTTTTAAGTTCAGTATAGTTTTTATAAGTTCAGTTCGTTTTGTCCACCCCTAAACCAAATACTTGGCGATTCATTTGCTGCACCTGTATTATATATGCCTTGGTGTCACATTCATGTTTTATTTTAACTCATTGCTTTCGACCTTAAATACTCCTATCATATAAAAACAGTGTCTGTTAAAACACGTGCACTGCCTAATCAACATCGTTACCGAATTTTTAGATTCACGTTGTTACTTTCTTTTCCCACCAGTCATTTGGGAAAATATAATCTTTTTTTTCTTCCATCTCTTCTATTATATATTATAGTTTTAGAAAAATAAATTATTTTCACAAAGACATTGGTGTAACATATAGATAAATAAATAGACATAAACTTTATAAATATATATAATTTCAATCATATATAAAAATAAAAAAATAACTACAACTGGTGCAACATGGTAGTTAATGTCTAAATATGTGTCCTCGTGAAGTTGCAAGAGATCAGGTGGAGACAATTGAAGGGGACCCATGGAGAAATTTTGGCAATTGAGGTGAATCACCATTCACCGCAAAATAAGGCCCCTCTCCCCTTACTCTTTCTAATTTGCTAAAACAACACGAAAATTGAAATAATAACTGCAAAATTTTGCCATATATTTTGTGGTTTGTCCGTGTCTCTCCTTTTAGAAAAAGAATACCAACCTCTCTTAGCCTAGCTTTTGACTCCGAGCCTCACATTTTTCAACTGACGTAACAAACTTTGAATTCCTTCACTCAAATAAATACACACATATCTCCCACACTACAACCACACCAACGCACTCTCCCCAGGGCTCCGACGGAGGATTGTAACTCCTGAACGCCCTTCTCCGTTTTACTCATCAGTGGCTCCTTTTCTTACCAAATAGGTATCATACCTTCACACTTTATACGCATTCATTCATTCAACTCAACCAAAACCTTAAACACACAAATTGCTTATGAATCAAGGACAAGGGTCATTTATAAACATCCTCATTTCTTAACTTATGAAAGACAAAAGCATGGCAGACTTGAATAATGACAACATAGATTATCGATATGAAATTTTGCTTCTATCAGAAGAACATCATTAAAAAAAAAAAAAAAAAAAACCTGTGAAATTGGATCCATAAGTTTTTACTATTGATTTGCATGATGAGTTTTACCAATCAATTTATTGTTCAGTTTTGTTTGTTATTGTATTATATTAATTACATTGGGTATATGTGGATGAAGGAAGTTTGGTGTGAATTAGGAGTTGCTTTGATTAAAAAGGATGGGGGCAGATGGACAGAGTAGGCGAATCGCCATCATTGGCGTTTCGACATTCTTGTTGGTGGCTATGGTCGTGGCCGTGACGGTAAGCGTAAACATTAGCAACAAGGAAACGAGTGGAAATGAAAAGGAAGAAAGCAAAACCCGCGTAGCTTCCACGATGAAAGCCGTGAAAACCCTTTGCGCACCCACGGATTACAAGGAGGACTGCGAGGAGAGTCTCACTGCACACGCCGGCAACACCACCGACCCAAGAGAGCTCATCAAGATCGCATTCAACGTGACCATCGGCAGAATCAGCGACGGGCTCCAGAAAACGCAGTTCATGCACGAGGCTGAGAACGACCCCAGAACCAAGGAAGCACTCGACGCATGCAAGCAACTCATGAACCTTTCCATGGGGGAGCTCAGGAGGTCGCTTGAGAAATTCAACAAGTTCGACCTCAACAACCTCGACGCCATCCTCACGAGTCTCAAGGTCTGGCTCAGCGGCGCGATCACGTACCAGGAAACATGCCTCGATGCGTTCGAGAATACCACAACTGACGCTTCCCACAAGATGCAAGATCTCTTGCAAGCTGCCATGCACATGAGTAGCAATGGCCTCGCTATCATTACCGAGCTGTCAAAAACTCTCTCAGAAATGCATGTCACCAAACCCGGGCGCCGCCTCTTGAAGGACGTTGATGATTTGTCTGTTCTTGGTCACGAAGATGATGAGTTGTTTGAGCTTCCCGAGTGGGTTGAAGATCGCGCTGGGGTTCGCAGACTCCTTCATATGACTGGACGGAAACACATGGCTAATGTGGTCGTTGCCAAGGATGGCAGTGGAAATTTCACCACCATCAATGAGGCTTTGCAGCACGTGCCTACGAAGAACGTAAGGCCATTCGTTATCTACATCAAGGAGGGTGTTTACAATGAGTACGTCGAAGTTTACAAAAACATGACCCATGTCGTTTTCATTGGTGATGGTGGTAAAAAATCAAGAATCACTGGAAACAAAAACTTCATCGATGGGGTGGGGACCTACAGAACAGCTAGTGCTGGTACGTTTCTATCAACTTTTTTTAACAACAAAACTTAGGTACACTATTGTTGAATTAGAACAACATATAAATACTTATGGTAGTGTATATAAGTTTTTTTCCCAACACATTTCTCTTTTTATACCAAAAAAAAAGAGTGTATACATTTAACATTTTCCTTTTTTTTTTTTTTTTTAATCTATGCAGCCATTTCTGGAGATTTCTTCGTTGCCATAGGTATGGGATTTGAGAACTCGGCTGGTGCTGAAAAGCATCAAGCAGTGGCCTTGAGGGTTCAATCTGACAGGTCGATCTTCTACAAATGTAGAATGGATGGGTACCAAGACACACTTTACGCCCACACCATGCGTCAGTTCTACCGTGACTGCATCATTTCAGGAACCATCGACTTTGTCTTTGGTGATGCAGTGGCTGTTCTCCAAAACTGCACTTTTGTGGTTCGGAAGCCATTGGAAAACCAACAATGTATCGTGACCGCACAAGGCAGGAAAGAGAAACACCAACCATCGGGTTTGGTCATCCAAGGAGGGGCCATTGTGTCAGACCCCAAGTACTACCCAGTTAGGTTCGACAACAAAGCCTACTTGGCTCGTCCATGGAAAAATTACTCAAGGACCATCTTCATGGACACCTACATCGGTGACTTGATCACACCCGATGGCTACATGCCATGGCAAACATTGGAGGGTTTATCTGGAATGGACACTTGCTTTTACGCCGAGTACAACAACCGTGGCCCTGGTGCAGACAGATCCAAGCGCGTCAAATGGCAGGGAGTAAAGACCCTCACATCAGAAGGAATAACAAATTTCTTGCCATCCATGTTCTTCCACGGAGATGACTGGATCAGGGTAACCAGGGTTCCTTACTATTCTGGAGTGTCCTCCATTAGGACCCCCACTCATTGAAGTTGATTCATTTTCGGGAGAGAGTGTGTGTGTTGCAACAAAAACTACTTACTACTATTGTAATGCTTAAGTTGTACCACCATTGCGTTTTGTTTTCCATTCATTCATTGGTCTAAAATGCAAGTGTGTGTAACTGTCATTTTCCCACAGTTCCCTCAAATGCTTGTGTAGGATGCTTAGTTTCGCTATTACGTAACTCTGAATCCTTCTTTCGCCCATTTTCTTCTTAAATGTCATTCATTACGATCGGCCGCAGTTGGTTGTTACACACATATTTACAATGAACTAAAGATTTTGTTCGGGTAAGTTTTTTTTATTTTATTTTTATTTTTATAGGGAATTTAAGTTTTAAAAAAGAATGAAAAACTTTTGCATAATCTTAAACAAATTATAAAATGAACTATTTATAAATAAATTAGATGCACCATGCATCAGCTATAAATTCATTGTTAAGTAGTAGTTTGTTCTTTAAACATAATTTAAATTTTATAATTGGATACCGTAGTGATTTAATATACAATAACACAATTAATTTAGTGTTATTGACAATGATTGCTTCAGAATTTTATTTTTTTCAATTGAGTTTAGGGATATTTTTATTCAATGAAATATAACATTCTTGAGTATATCTAGATAATAGATAGGAACATAAATTAAAGTAAGGGTGGGTAATAGGCTAGTTTGATCGTGTTCGAGTGTAAAATGTCCAATTCACTTGTAAATTAACTTTAGAAAAATGTTATTCAGTTTGATTAATTGAACTTCCAATTTAAGGTAGTTCAAGTTTAATCAAATTTGGATTTGAGCAAGGGGTATAATTAGGTTCGAGATTTTTTGTAAGTCAAATTATCTTAACAAAGGTGATAATAAATGATGTAGATAGATATGTAAATGAAACATTCACAAAACAAAAATAACAAAATCTACAATTACATATACAAAAGAAATCTAAAGTTGAAAATTCATAAGAAACCACACCAGTACAAGTTGTAATCAAAATGGAGGTAATTAAGAGAAAGAGAAAGAAAGTCAAAAAAAGAAATAAAAAGTTGAATGAGGATGGAAAAGACCAAAGAAGTGTCTAGCTTAAAAAAAAGTTACAAATTGATTTTGTATAACTAAATTATATTTGAAATAAAGAAGTTGAGTTAGGGCATTATTGTTAAGTTAGACAAGAGTAATAAAAACTTGAACTTTATTTCATTTTTGACCGGGATCAATTTTTAGTGGATTTAAAATATATTTTATATAAAATCAAAATTTTAATCCATTTTTACCTATAAGACCCGCTTGAATCCATCCAAATTTAATATTTTTTGTTGGTTTTTTGGGTTTGGTTCAAATCTCAGTTCCATGCTCAATCCTAAATTGAAGCATTCTATAACTAAAGAGATAGTTACTAATCATTAGTGCTACATAAAACATTCCTCCTATAATAGTTTTTAACATGAATAATGAAAATTATGTTATAGTCATTTTTGTACATTTAATGTACTCTACGAATAAGGAAATACATAGAACTAAACATAGTAAAATAAGAAATCGAAAGATTTCATTGAAATTGTTTGTTTGAAATCTATTATCTAAATAATAAAACTATAGGCTACCAAAATTACAGTTTTGCCCATTATTAATCTTAGACACGTGTCCACATTTTAAGTTTATATGTAATTTTATATTAAAGATATTTTACATTTTTTTAATGATTTTCTGATAAAATATTTGTTGATAAAAATATATGTCAATCACAAAAGATCTTCCTTCTTTTAATAAAAGATTTTTTCCTCTTAAATGGTAAAGAAATAAGGGAATATATTAATTATTATAAAAAATATACCAATAAATTTAATTTCTTAAAAATAGATTAATTTACATTCTCATCGCACTAAAAATTAGAGTTACCTCTTTAAGTTTGTCTTGTTCTAAGAGTTGTAACTTGTAATATTATGAATTTCACCCTTTAAAATAACTTAATTGAATCATAAGATGCATGATATACTAATTAATTTGTGAAAGTAATTATAATCAAACATACATGTCACACTTAATTTGAAGAACAAATTAAGCAGTGAATAATCTTTAATGGTAAAGAAATAAGGGGATATGTTAATCATTATCAGAATAAACCACTAAATTTAATATTTTAAAAAACAAAGTAATGTTACATTCTCATAACAGTAAAAATTGGAGTTACCTCTTTAAGGTTATCTTGCTCACACTTGCAACACTATATGAATTTAACTCTTTTAAATTAACTTAATTGAATCATAAGATGTATGTTATAGTAACTAATTTGCAAAAGTAACTACAATCAAACACACATGTTGCACTTATTTTGAAAAACATATTAGATAAGCCAACTTACAAAATATATTCACTAACAAGAAAATTTAGTTAGTAAGATGTATATAAAAGCATATATTATATTAAACAAACTATTATATTAAACAAACTATCCGTATGGTCATAGAATAATGAAATAAAAGAGAAGTGTTTAATTACATGGTATTTAATTCTTCATGTTCCTTTTCTACATGCTTGCGGGCATCACCATATATACAGATGTAGCCTTAGTCAATATGTTGTAACTATTGTTCTCTGCTCCATCTTGAAACATGTGCTATATATCAAAAGATGGTAAAAATGATTGATGTGACGTGGAACCTTCTACCAAAGAAAAAGACCCTAAAACTTCATCTTCCCTAACTTTACTTCCTCCGGTACATTTTTTTATTAGCAAATCAAAATATAGTTTTTACCTGTTCAAGAGACATGCATTAATCTTCATCGCTTTCCAGCTGCATTAATCTTCATCTCCATTAATTGGATCCTTTTGCGTTTACTTGCGCAACTCGACTTTCATATTAATATTGAATGACAACATTAACAACTATTTATGCGTGTTTGCAAGCTAAGTGACATGTTTATTTAAAGTTACCACTCCATCTGAGTCACTGCTAGAGGCATTAATGTCCGACAAGTTCCAACTCATCCTTTAACAACATATATACCTATCATTTAAGATACTTAGCTTTATAAATAGAAGTCCGAGCGAGAAATCATGCAGCAAGAAAAATTTTTTAATGCTACTTTAACTTCATATTTCAATGTTATAGTACCATATTGTCAAATTTTAAGACGTTGTTTTATGTTTAAATTTCTCATAGGCGCATGGTTTCTATTAGTATCATTGATTATTTCTATTAATAATTACTAAATGTTGTTGATATAAGAGTGTTGATTGGCATTGACACTGTTTTAGTGATTTTTCTAGCTTATGAAAACATGTCTATTATAAAAACGTGTATATTATAAATAATAGAATAATTTCCCAATCAACATCATTATAAAGCAGTGTAGTAAATATTAAACAGTTTGTGTGAGTTGGAGGAAATCTAGTGGATCTCTACCTTCATAAGTAGAAATCATCTGACAAGAAATCATAATTTAAGATACTTAATTATATAAATAAAAATCTGAGTGACAAATTATGTAATAATATATCATACTTAATGTTATATTACCATATTGTCAAATTTTATGACATTATTTTATGATAAAACCTCTCATAGGCATGGACATGGACAATGAACAAAATTTAACTAAAGAAACTCCTGCTAAAGCACGTTTGAAATGAAAAAATGTGCTACGTGAAAAGACTGCAAATATATCAATTAGAGGAGTTGAAACTAAACAGTTGTGTTCTCAACAAAGATCAAGAAACAATACTTCACTTTCTGAGATTAGTTTCAACATACTAAATCAGGAGAACGAACCAATTTGTCACTCGAATAACATCTACACACATCCAAGTGCACACCAAATTTTACTAAAAAATAGAAGAAATACAACTCATGTTCATTTTCAGGGTGAAAACCTATTGAAAAAATTTGCTGAGGCCAATCATAACTTATCAAATCTAGAAGGAATTAACTCTGGGCCAAACTTAACCATCACAACATCTACATCAAATCATAGATTGTCACCAAGTCAATGAATATGTATTGTCTATAATTCCAAGTATTTCTTTCATTATACACCCTAGCATTTTAAATATTTAGTGTGATAAATAGTAGTTTCAACTTAATTGACTAATTTTTGTTGATATTGTTGTAGGTGATGAAAAAAAATACCTTAGTTATGATGTACTCACACTTGAGTTTTTAAATTCTCTTAGAACATCAGGTCTTCCAAATCATAAAATTAAATTAAAGATTGGAACACCTGTGATGCTTTTACGCAATTTAGATCAATCTGAAGGATTGTGTAATGGTACACTCATGATTGTTACAAGACTAGCTAATCATGTCATTGGAGCAAAGATAATGTCTAGAAATTCAAACGGAAATGAGATTTATATACCACGCAAGTCTATGTCTCCATCACAATCTCCATGGCCTTTTAAGTTGATTAGAAGACAATTTCCAATCATTGTTTCCTATGCAATGACAATTAATAAGTCCCAAGGTCAATCGATAGCAAATGTTGGATTATACTTACCTAGGTCAGTGTTTAGTCATAGACAATTATATGTTGCAATTTCTAGATTTCAAAGCAAATAGGGGTTAAAGATCTTGATTCATGACAAAAAAATAAACCATTGATGTCTACTACTAATGTTGTTTTTAAGGAAGTATTCCAGAACATTTAAAAGTGTTGCAAAACCTTTAATAGGTAAGAAATTATATACAAGTATAACTTTTCAATTGTAGTTGTTCTTTTAAAATTTTTATATATAGATACATTTTTATTTTTCTGATATTTAAATACTAAAAATATACGCTGCATGTTAGAATATAAGGGTTCAATTTAAAACTTAATTACACAAATTACTATTTGTGAATGTAGGAGCATTTGATGTCATATGTACAAATATTGTTATGCGATACTTTTGCATCTTTAATACTATGCTTCTAGGCCTTATACCAGACTAGATACAATGGAAACAAACATTGTGAATATTATATTTATATAAGTTTTCAATCGCCTCAAACGTATAATTACTATTTTTTTTAACTTTTTGTGCAGTTGCTATATTGATGGAGAATAGACAATAATTTTCACATGTAGTTAATTGAAGAATACATGCATATTTATTACATGCAGACATATACAACACTTTTATGACTCATTAGTTGTATTCTTCAATTAAATGCTTTTGATTACATTTATATCCCTTTGGGACTTATTAGTTTATTTCGTAAAGACATTGACAAATGAAAATGTTAAAAGTATTTTTATAAAAATTGTTATCCAATCATATAATATAAAATGTTTTATATCTTTTTATTTTGATGCGCACTATATTGTTAATTAAATTCTTCTATCTATCCCTATTTTCATGATTATCCTTCTTCTTTTACTAATTTTTTAAAATTTTTATTAATTCTTGCTAAAAAAATATAATAATACGAACTAACTCAACCTATACGCACGCACGGGTAATTAACTAATTTTTTTGAAAGTTAATCACAACAAGTACCATTATAGATGAAGTGCATTTCAAATAGATATATTTTTCTTTAAAATTTTGACAACTTTAGTATATCACTATTACAAATCCTATTTAGATATTTTTTTTAAAGGATATTTAAATGTTTTCTATCAATAATATATCATTTACTTTCAAACATTAGTTTCTTGCATAATTTTTTTATTCACATATTTTGCGTGATTATAAAATAACTAAAGAGTTATTATATATATATATTTTTTTTTTTAATGTGTTATCTTATTTTAGGAATAAAGTGATACTTTCATTTGTGACTTTATATTAAAATCACTTTATTCTTAAAATAAGATAACATTAATATATATATATATATATATTAATAAATGATTTGTGATAATGTATTATGATACTAATATAAAAAATAAATAAAAAAATTTCATCCCACATGTGTATTTTTATTTATTTTTTTGCCTTTATGATATTATCTTTATTTTATCCTTTCTATTTTTTAAGCTTAAGGAGTATGCAATTTTTTCTTTTCAAGTTTCAATTTCATAAGGTTATCACATGGGAATCATCTTTTTCATTTTTTTAAACTTTCATATTCACTTTTTAAAATTTTTTATTATAGTATATTATATTGTTCTTCAACTAATTTGCTTCATGTATTCCACAAATCCATGCACTAATTTTTAAAAGACATAATTATTTTACATGAATGATCAAACTAATTTGATTACTAAATATATGGATAAACTAATATGATGTTATTTCATGTATATCAATAATATCAAATTTAAAACTCAAATATGTGATTGTATTATATGTTAATGCATCATATATTCAAAAGGAAAACTTTTTTACATCTGACAGTCATACTCAACTCAACTCGAGCATAATTACACTCAACTCAAGCATAATTGTTTTAAGTAGATGATACATATGATTTAAACAAAAAAAATCAATATCACAATAAAAAAGATTTATGTTACTCTTATCTATATTAAGTGAAATAAATAAATTAATATTATGATATAAGTATCATCTTTTATTTATATTTTTTTATGACGATATATAACAATACACACAATTATCTTTATTTTAAAAAAAATAATGATAGTCAATTTTATTTTTTCTTTACTATGAAAACATTTTTTATTAAAAAAAATTAAATAATTATACATTAATATAAATGATTTATATTATTAATTATTCTTATAAAAGTAATGTACAACATAAGTTGTATATAAATGCAATTTTTTATTAAGATAATATTTTTAAAATAAATATTTATATAAATCCAAATAATAAAAAATATATGCTAATATAACATTATTCTAATATCTCAATATTCATAATTATATATATATATATATATATATATATATATTACATACATATTTACTAATACATAATCATACAAATTAATTAATTTTTTTTAAACTTTATTAATCATAAACCTAAGACACATGGGAAACATATATAAATAAATAAAAATGGGGAAAAAACCTATGCTCGAGATCTTGTTATAAATTTTTTTTATAAAAAAAAAGAGCTTTTATTCACGACAAAATACTTTTCTTTATATATATATATATATATATATATTATTTTAATAATAAAACTTGTTATTGAGAAACAAAATTTAACTAAATGAAATAGTATTGACAACCAGAAATAAATTAAAAGAATCGGTGTGTGTTGGGCTCGGGTCAATCTAAAGGCAAACCCTCGCTTGCAAGTCGCAAGTTTGTGATGGCGGCCTCTTCGTCCTCTCTCTCTTCCTCCGACGACTCTTCTCCTCACCGCCGCAGGCGTCATCACCGCCATCGCCGAGACCGTGACAAGGATAAAGACTCTCTCAAGATCCGAAAGAAGACCAAATCCCAATCCCAATCCCGCGGAAAACGACGCCGTAAGCATCACCGCCATTCTTCCCATTCCGATTCCGATTCTGATTCCGATTCATACTCTTCCTCCTCCATCTCAGATCTCTCCAGGTTCCATATAACCCTTGCATAACTGATGACAGACGCATTTCTTTTAATTATATTATTTTGTATTATTATTATCATGTATGTGCTATGCTTCAAAGGCAAATTCAATACGATTTATGGACCTTGCAATTTTCGTAGCTTTGTGTTCTCACATCCTTTAGGATCCGTGAATCTTAGTTTATCATAAAAATACAATTAATAATTTCCGACCATTGTAAGGGAGACAGCGTATATAAAAATACTAGTTTATTAGAATTTTTTCGCTGTCTTAGGGCCTAGTGGATGTTTATTACAGCAGAATTGATGTTTATGGAATTGGGGAATGGGATGGATGTTCATGTTCCAACATTTTGATCTCTCATGCAATCCGTTTTGTTCCATTTCATCTTGTCATTTTTTTTGTGCGTGGTGTTTGGTAATGATGGGAATTGTGAAATGGAATCATACTGATGAAAATTTATCGGAAAATGGATTTTGAAAACGCTTGCCATTGACCGAGCTTATTCTCACTCTCCTTTGCGTGTATCCTTCCTTCCCCCTTTACCACATTTCGCATATTGAGTTTCTTCTTTACATATCTGATTGTTATATTATTCATTCATTTGTTGTCCCGTATTTACTATGGATTTTGAAAGATGATTTCTCCAAAATGTTTAATGTTTTATAAATTGTGTGCCTTATACAAGACACCAAATCATTTTGCATTAGTTACTTTACTTTCAGTGTAGCTGCTTGTTTGTACTATATGTTATTGATTTTAAAAATTTGCATGTTAATAACTTAATGAGTGGATTAATTTTACTTTATCATAATATTTTGTTCACTATATCACTTCAGAAGTGAAACCTCTTCTGATAGTGAGCATGAAACATCTCATCGTTCAAATAGGCACAAAAGGAGCGACAGACCAAAGAAGGTGATTTGTTGGTAACACACTTTTTCTTAATTTATAATCTTGTCCATTTACCTCACATCCCCCCTTTACCCATTTACCCTCCAGAATAAGGAAAAGGAACGAAGTAAAAGCCACCGCCATAAGCGACAGAAGCATAAAGTAAAAGAGGTAGGTCACTTTTTCATACCTTGTTTATTGTCTTCTATTGGCTTGTTCAAAATCATTTGGTATTCTTCATATTTAAAGTTTCTAACTTGAGTGGCCTTGTAATGTCTACTATGCACGAGGGCTTGTTTCGTCTAAATCATCACCGTCCTTGTAAACTTGAATCAGCATATTTAATAATAATTACCGGAAGTTTTGCTACATGGATTCTTATTTAAATCCATGATTTACTTTAGACACACCCATATAGTTTTGTATTATTCTATCTTCTTCTGTAGCTTGAAAACATTGGTTTGAAATCATTGGTTCTGAATGAACTAATAATGCATTAGTATATAACAGCAAATTATTTATCTTGCTGCAAACTTGCAGACTTTTCCATATACAAAGTTTTTACATTCCAGTCTGAGATGCTTATGATACTTTCTGCCTATTTTATGTATTGGCTCTTTGAAATTGGAGCTGGGATCTGTGACATGTTTGGGCGCTTCATTGACTTGCTTGGATGTTGTTTCTTGGTGGGGTTTGTCCTGGCAATGGGAGCTTTATATAGAAGCAGCATGATGAGAGGAGTAGCAGCCCTGTGCAGCTTTCCAAGGTTTTTATTGTAATCTAGCTCAACAATTCAATGCATTTACTTGCTTCCATGGTTTTTTTATTTTCCTAGCTTTTTGTACTTGAACAGTTTTTAGGGCGTGACAAAGATGATGGTGTCCGTCGAAGTGCTGTATCTGGCAAGAAGGTATGGATGTGTTATTTGATTGTACCTTTGTTTTGGTCCCTGTTATTGGCCGTAACCTCTCTTGATTTTTTTTATTTTTATTTTTTAAGATTCTTCTGAAACTTGAAAAGACAAAGGAAGATAAGGTGGCTGAAAGCAAGAGAAATGAACTGCTGAACTTTTTAAATGCTAGTTTTGATTAGCATTGAGAAGTTATGGAGTTGATAGGGGGTACCACAAAATCTGCATAGAACCAAATTTATTTACATGGCTGCATAAGTTATTTTTCCATTATAAGAACGAGGCAGCCTACCACTTCCCTTGGGGAGGGGAATATATTGATGTCGTGCTTACCTTTGAAAGACATTAAGATTAGTGGGTTTCTCTTTTGTGAGATTTGCTGAGTTTTTGTAGGATGAGAAGATTTTGACCCAGCAGATTCCATACATGGTATTTTGAGATTGGGGTAATCATTGTGTTATGAGCCAAGATTATTATTTTTTTTTAAATTTTTTTTTGTGTTGTTTATTTAGTCACATATGACTGAGTTGTTGTTCCCCTCTTTTACCTCGATATTTTTTCTGAAAATAGGTTTGGATCGAATTGCATCAACATAAGGATCTTAGGTTTTTAATTAATGGCATCCCCTGTTACCTTGGAATGGAGCAACGTGTTCTCTCGATATATGATTACTTATCCTAAAAACAGAAATAATTATATTCAGAAAGGTAGTTATAAATACTAATTAGTTTTTAAAGGAAGAGGGATATGGATTTAGTAGTTTCTTTTAGGAGGTGGAAAATTTTGAAAGTGATAGCGAGGAAAATAATCCTTTGCTATTTATGTGATTTTTTTTTGTTGTTTCAATGAATTGATGATTAAAACCTAAGGACTTTTGATATATATATATAAAAAAATTATCGTTGCAGGCTTCTGATCTTTGTTGGCCGGTAAAATTCAACATAGCAGAAAGAAACCAATTTTGTGGATGTTTAATTCGACGCTTGTTATCCACGTGTCCCTTATTGTGTATTTCATTTTTGTATTAGAAGAAAGTTTAGGTGAGTTAAAATAAATATGCAAGATTGGGCAGTAGTTTTAAATATCCACTAGGGGTTCACTACTGTCTGGGCAGAAGACAACTTATGTCTTCTAGTCAGTTACGATAAAAGGAGGGGTGAGGGGTTAATATAGGCTTAATTATGAGTGCAAAGTTACAATGAAAGAATAAAGGTGACATTTTCATGGACTTTGCCAACAAAGACATCCATCATGAACCAGCTAATATACTTCATTTCAAATAACACTATTTATCACATTTATCGATTTCTATCTATTTATTCAAGGTGGAGAGAGGGGACTTAGAGGAGTCATAATATCCTCCATTTTTTTTAAATGTATCAAAATTATTTTAAAAATATTTTGTTAGCCTCCTAAAATTTATATAAAAAGAATATTTTAAGTTGATAAATGAAAATTATCATATAGTTTATACTTAAGAAAAGAAAAAAGATAAATATATCTAAAATTAATATATAATGTGATAAAAAATAGATAAAAAATTATAAAAATAATAATCAATTGTTTATATGGTTATAAACGTTAAAAATAAAGTTAGCCCTCTCAAGCCAAAATTTTGGCTGTCTTGTATCTATTTTTGTTTTCTTTATCACTGTTCTTTCTGCCTACACTCGATCAAAACATGGAGCTTATAAAACAAAACTTATAAAAATGTATTATGGGATGTAAAGCAAAAGTCATTGTTGCTAAGAAAAAGAGAAAAAAAAATGCATCGTGGGTTTCATCGAAGTGTTTAAAGGAGGTTATAAAATATATAAGGAGTATTGTAGAAGGATGCTTCCTAGTTCTAACTACTCGAAGTTAAAAACCAATCACCAAAAAAAAAAAAATGCACTTTGACCCATTCTACTTCCTAGTTCACACAATCAATATATATTCGAGATTGTGAAAAGATAATTAGTGCTTATCAGGCACGTTAGCCCTAAATATGATGCTCTCGTATCTATAAATAATATAAATGGGAGAAGTTTAGGAATAACTCTTTTTCTTTCGAAACTCTCAAGTTCTTTTTCTCTCAAATTTTTATCTAACAAAATCAAATATAAATGTAATTATATAATTTTTTTTAATAAAAATAAAATAATACAAAGAATGATTAATTTATCCAAAGACCCGCATAAAATCAATACCAATAATTACTATATTTTGCGCATATTATACCAAATACAATATTTTTATATTAATTTTATATAATTACATCATCTTTTAAAATGATATAAAATATAAAAATCAATTATTTTATTATATAAACATTAATTTATTATTGATAAAAAAATCTATAGTAATACAAAGAGAATAACTCCTTTCCTCCAAAATTCTTGTCAATAATTCTTTTTCCACCAAAACTTTCCTCTAATACTTTTCTCTTAAATATTATATATATAAATATTATTATAAAATAAATTGTTACTGAAAATAATTATAAGTAAACAAATATATTAAAATAAATAGAAAAAACTGGATAAAATAATTTGATAATCATTATTAGATTTTCGTAAATTCTAATCATTATATAATAATAGAAGTTGGATAAAATTATTTAAACAGTAACTCATCATTGTTAGATTTTTGCAAAATCCAATCGTTATATATTATAAAAATTATTTCTATAAAATAAACAAAAAAATTGGATATATATATATATATAATATGTAATTAAAAGAAAATTATTTTTTAAAAATGTTTCAACTAAATTAAAAAATAAATAAATAAATTCATTGTAGTACTATAGATTTTATGTAATTAACAATCAAAATTAATGTTCAATTAGATTTCTATTTTAATATGATCATTAATATAATTATAATATGATTGTCTCTATTATCTTTTATTCATATAAATAAGAATAAGTATTCTTCTATATTCAGATTACAACAGTACTAACACAATATTGAATGTTACTTCTTAATGAGATTAATTTGTGTTTATGAAATAAAATTAACTTTAAAATTCTAATACAATTTTCTTAGGAGAGAAATTATAATATTATTTTAATCATAATTTTTTAAACATATATATAATATAAATGTCTCTACATACATAACATCTATTATGATATAATATATATATATATATAATATTATATAAGTTATCAAAATGATATATGCATTACACAAGGGCTTATCTAGTTTATTTAAATATATATCTCTAGACTTTGAATATTAGTTTTATAGTATAGCACTATAGCTTATTGTTTTCTTTGCATTATATATACTTGCAGAAATTGAGAACTGACAGCAGCGTGGAGGGGAGTGGAAGTGAAAGTTCCGGTGAAGTTCATAACGATATATACAGTATTTGTTTCTTATGGATGAAGGAGTATATAGAGAGTGGTGCTTTCAAGAAAGATGTTCATATTTAGAGGAAATGGTTGTGCAAAGGGTGGCTCACTTCAACAATTAAGAAGCAGCATAAGATGTCACCAATCACATTTATGATTTTGTAAACAAGTTCTGATCTATCTTACCAACTTTCTTAATTTCGTTGCCATAACTGTCTTTGTTTATAAATTGCATTTGTAGACTTTTAAGTCACGTGATACAGCTTTTTGAAGTGATTTTGAGCATTTCTTTATTACAAATAACTTTTTATTTTTATTAGAGATATTCTTAAAAATATTTCTAATTTATGTCCATACAAACTCTTAATTACATGCAATTGTGCCATTATGAAAAACATAAATTTTAGGTTAAAACTCTATTTTGGTCTTTTATAATCTTTTTTTGTTTCAATTTAGTCCCTCATTAATTTTTTGTCTCAATTTGGTCCCAAATTAATTAATTGGTTTTAATTTAGTCCTAAATTAATTAATTGGTTTCAATGTGGGACTTTCCGTCCAAATTGCTTTAACGGTGTTAACTTTTGGCCACGTGGATGCCACGTAGATGCATACGTGGCATCCACGTGGATGAGAATTTTTTTGAAAACACCTGGACCCAGAACGGCCCGTTCTGAAACCGGAACGGGCCGTTCTGGTTGCAAAATTAAAACACCACCAGTGAAGCAGAACGGGCCGTTCTGAAATCAGAACGGGCCGTTCTGGTTTCAGAACGGCCCGTTCCAGAACTGTGAATAAAATATTCTTTACTTAATTGTGTTTTTGATATTATAATTATGCAATTTTGATCTCTAAGGTTTTAATTGAGTAATTTCAGTCCTTAAAAGATTATAATTGTGTAATTTTAGTCTCACAATTTTTAATTGAACAATTTTAATCTCTCAAATATCATAATTGTGGAATTTTAGTCTTTCTCATTAAAAATTTAATAATTTTAAAATTTTAATATATATATATATATAATGTTTTAAAACTATATAATTGTTTGTTTATTTAAATTAACGTATATTATTTTTTTTAATGTATCAAATGATATATATTTACTATTACTAAATAAATAAAATTTATATATTATTAGTATTTTAATATTACTGATAAATTAATATCAATAATATTTTTACCCTTTTTATAAATAAACTAATAATTTGATAAATATAACTTAATATATATTAATATACTTTTACAAAAATATAAATATATAAGATCAGATATATATTTCTAATTAATATACTTATATTTTTGTAAAAGTATATTAATATATAACAAGTTATATTTATCAAATTATTAGTTTATCTATAAATATATTAATAATATTATTGATATAATATCGAAAATTATAATATACGTTAATTTGAATAGATAAATAATTATTTAATTTTAAAAAACTTCTGTTTTTTCTGTATGTGTGTGTATTAGTTCAACTGGTGTTGCAATTGATTTTCAAACTTCAAAATCTTGAATTTGAGTTTTGAATTTTATAAAAATATATTTTAAATTTTTTTAATGATAGAAGAGTATAAGGGTTTACTAAATGTAGAGATCGTGATAGTTACTATAAGGGATATTTCTTTTATATATTAGTATAGATAGTATAGATAAAGATTTGAAATACTTGGATAAAGACATGAGTTGTAGGTGAATGTTTTGACTTTAGAGATTTAAATGAATATGAATTCAAGCAAGTGAGTGATCCTTGCATTATTCTGTCATGATAAAACTCATTTATCTGAACTAGTTCACTATAAAACTTGTTAAAATCCAATTTAAAATAAAATTAAAAAGTATGGTTGTATGGTTATTATATAGTATGGTTGTCATGATAAAGTACATTTATATGGTTTTATATTTTTTAATGTTGGATACAAACAAGATCCCACATAGATAAAAATAAGAGAAGAAATAACCATTTATAAAACACATATATTTCATTAAATGAGAGACCTTTTAAATAATAATCAAATGTAAAATCGTAAAGGTTTAAACCCAAAATAGACAATATCTCACCATTTTCGAGGGACTAAATTGAAACAAAAAAATATTATAAAGAACCAAAATAGGGTTTTAACCTAAATTTTATTTCTTTTGAATTTTTCCCAACGTAGACCCTCATCCTTAATTGTTCTCCTGAAGTCAAAGCATTCTGTTCATGTGTTTTTTTCTTCTTGAGTGACCGGTTCCAATTCAATATACAAGGTTTTTGAGTAAAATCATTGGGAAGCACTTATAAGAAAGGAATAGAAAAGAAAAATAAAATAAGTTTGTATACATAAGTTAAAATTTACTTATAGATTAACTAATTTATGAAAGTTTTTTTTAATATATTTTTAAATTTGTTTATACGTTAATTTTAACTTATAGAATAATTTAATTTAATTAAACTTAATTTTTGTTAGGACTTGCTACAATAATTTTATTTTTGAGGTTATTATATCCAAGGACGGAGCCAAGGGGGGACCTACGGGTGCCACGGCCCCCCCCAACAATTTTAATTTTTTTTTATATACATATATATTACTATATGGCACCCCCTATTTTTAATATAAACTCATATGTATAATTAAATGAATAACCCAAATTTATTTTTTTATTCAACTTTTGGACTTCTGGTACGGCCTGCTATGTGGTATCACTTTGGAATTTTTTTTTTTTTAAAAAAATGTAGCGCCTCATTTGATCATTCCAATTCT